TCTGTCTCATAAAGCAAGATTTTTCAGTTAGCATGTTAGCATTGGGGTTAAACGTCTCTTTTGGCTGGTAGTTAACAACCTGCTGTTGCTATGGTGCTGTCTACATGAGCCAAAAATGTTTAAATGAGAAAAATGAGAAAATCTGCAATGCAGCCATTACACAAAATGTTCTTCCTGCATTGGTACGATCTTTTAAGGCACTAAACAAACATTGTCGTGCATTCAACCACTTCAGACAAGAAATGTTAATTGGCTTTTCATTATCAAGGAGTATGAGTGCACCGTGACTCACTGAGGGGGAAGAAAAAACTACCTCCTACTAATAAACATGTGTTGGTGTAGCATGTGACAACAATGTGTACATATTTATGTGCACACTGAAGCCTGGGATCTGAGATTATCAGTGCCTGAACAAAAGATTATGGCATCATTAGCAAAAAATGATTTCAACTTACAATATAATCCCTTCCTTTTATCTCACATCTACAAAGCATCCTGTAAAAATGTCCTCTGAGGACTGTGACAGAGTTAGTTCCCTCCGGACCTCCGCACTCACAGGATGGCCTCCTCAGGCTACACAAACCTGTTTATCTCTTAAGAGTTGTACCCCTCTCCCTCTGAAGTCTTGGACTTCTCCCTCTAACCAAAACTCTGGAAACATCTGTGAGAAGCTGGATGTTCCTCAACTCCCCTGTGGGTACAGTTAAAAGCAAAACGAGCCCTGCCTCTGGTACCACAGTCTAGTCATTCAGCCATCTATGATCGCTCCCCTCGCTGCTGTCAATCACCGCTCTGAGTCACAGGGAAAGGTGATGCAAGATAGCAGGAGGAAAAAATTATATTTTAAACCCCTGTGGGAATGTGTGAAAGCACTGATTCTTTTTTTGATTTTAAATATACATATGCAGTGAAACAGGCAATGTGAATCTCAACAATAAATCTGTCAGTAAGAACACAGATTGTCTGTTCCTCAGCTGCAGTGGTTTATATTTGCCAGCTCTGTTCTGAGAGCTCCCTGTTCATGCACAGAAACTCACTGGCAGTGAGAGTAGTAAAAATTCCGTACCTCATACAAAACAGACCTTGGCAATGACAACATTCATGATATCAATCAAGTCATGCATAGCATGGAAAGGTGCTGGGGTGGACGTTGTTTGCAAAGCAACTGTCAGGCTAAAGCAACCTAAATATCTGTCCTTTGAGATTTCTCAGTGGGTGGCATAGAAGGGTTATAAACTGACCCATTAGTCTGATTTGCTTAAAATGATAAAAATCCAATTTAATCTTATTCAGTTTATGTACTGCTGATTCCCCTGAATAGTCATCTAAAGGTACTTTATATATTGTACGCTACAGACCCCAGCCATTCAATGAGCCTGTATGAGGTGAAAGTGGGGAGAAAAATGGTCGCTTTAACAGGAAGAAACTTCTTGCAGAGCCAGGGTCAGGGATAGCAGCCATTTACCACATCCACTTAGTAGATGAGGAAGAAGAGAGGGATGAAGAGTGAGCAAGAATGAAAAAGACAGGTGTGAAGGAGAAGAGCTCAGTACATCAAAGGAGATCTCTCAGCAGCCTGGGCCTCAAGGCATCATAACTAATGGCTCAGTCACACTACAGCAAATATAAGACAACTTCCTGGCAACTAGGAAAGAGGTGGCTGCAAGGAGATTCCAATGATTGGAATTAGTGACCAGTTACAAGGAATTCCATGCTTGCACATTTAAATACATGACAATTACACAGATCACCGTGTCGGAGGCAATCTGCTTCCAAACAATCACAGCCTGACTTGGGCTGACTCAGTCGCTCTCCGATTGGTGAAGGTTTACAAATAATTGCCATCTAATTTATGGATACAGATTTTGCAATCAATCAATCTGCAATCTCTTTGCAATAGAGGAGTAGAATAGAATAGAGGATGCCAGCTGGTTGTATTCTGAAAACAAGTTGCAGAGTACCTGTGTAATATTGCAGTTAAATCACTGCCCTTCAGCAACCATGTCACAAAGAGGAATTTGAGTGGTGGGAATTTGTAAGTAGCCGATGTGAAATTCTGTGTATGCAGACAGCAACAGATTTAAATTCCATGTAACTGCCAGTTTAAACCCATTCAATCACAAATTGATACATTTTCTTTTTCAGTAATTCTGACCACTGTTTTTCTTAATGTGACTGTAGCATAGTGGAAGGTTGAGCCAATCATTTCAATAGCTTCAAAGTTACAATATTTAAAAAAAATGAATGGATGACATGTAGTGCAACATCCAAACACTTAAAATCATTCGTGTTCAAACTGAGCAAATACCAGGTCAGTATGTTCAAAATATATTTGATTACATATGTATCCCCCAAAACATTTGAATTCATCTGTTTTGCACTTTAAATTGTTAAACTTTTTACTTTAAAAGCTAGAAGTGTAGCAATACAGTTGAGGTAATGGCAAGTCTTACACATTTACATTAAAACAATGTTAAAACACGTTTGTGTGAGAGCGATTGTGAAGTTCATTTCCACAGAATCCTACATGGCGTGTGCACCACAGGATACGGATGAAAAATGATGCCGCAGGAGTTATCAGTGTGTGCAGTTTTGAGGCACTAATTAGTCCAGTAAAATGTGTTACCTCATTATAGGCAACAGACTGGAGGTGATCACTGATATTCAACTGCCACCTGGTGGTTAAAATTCTACTATACAGCAGAGATGGGCAACCATGGAGAACAGCAACTTGTCACATGTCTGAATTTAGTTTATTTAGGTCATGTTGTCATTTCATTCTTCTGTATTGACTGAAAACCAAACAAAAACAACAGATAGGAATGTGATACTGAGAGGATGTACACATTTGCAATTTAATACCAGGAGCACATCTTTTTTTATATATTTATATTCATTTTTTTCCCCCCTTTTTCTTAAAGTGAAGATTTGAGCCAACCTGAATGTGGTCCCATCTTTACTCCCCCCCCCTTTCAATTCCGTGTAAATAAAGAAGCCAGTTCTCTATAATCTATTCATATCTGGCCGATATCACAGTAACATGATGTGTACTGGTGGCAAATACCTACATTACATATGTCGGTTAGCAATTATGGTTTATTCAAAAGAAATCCATGTGTAAACCACTGATACTCTACAGATACACCAAACCTGCAGAGCCAGTGTAAATCAGTATCTAAAGGTGTAAAAATACACCAGTGATTTCATTATAGTTACAGCTAACCGGGTGAACAGCAGGATATTGTTGAGTTTAACACCAACCATCTCAAGTTTGCTTCCTGCACAGATGTTGCAGAGAATCTTCAATGTTACAACTATACAGTTACTTTCTCCGTTTTCTGGGTACATAAATATCTGAATACAGATTAATTCAATTCAAAGTTATTTATCTGGCACCAAATCACAACAGTCACCTCAAGCCACTTTATATTGTAAGGTAGACCCTACAATAATACATACACATCATAGTGCCAGGCAAACAAGCTTCTAACCCTGCTCGATGACAAAACAATAGAACAAGCAGATATTTAAAATGAGCTGAAGCCTCTGATGATGCAAGCCATTCATTGAAACTGTAATCGTTCTTAGGAGTCCAGTTGCTGTCACATCTGCAAAACACTTTCAGCAAAAGTGATTAATGAACCCTCTGCTGCTTTAATTCAGCTATTTGAGAGCTGCATGTTATGACCCCAAAATCAGAACTGCGAGAAATATGATACAAGTTTGTGCCATTTTATTACAGTATTTGCCTGGATGGGTGTTGCCGTGGTTAGATTGAAGGAAAATGTTCAATTTAAGCCAATAACACAGATCTTCCAAGGCTGGTCATGATGCTCCCCACCACTTTGGATATTTCTTCTGATGCAAAATCTTGTCCGATTCCTCGCTAACAGAAAGGAAAACACTTTAGTAAGTAAAAACTGGCCTCTGTAGAGCAACGTATTGGCAAAGCCTAACAGATGAGACAATAGCAAGACAACAAGTAGAGAACTACTTAAGTTTTCCTGTTCATCAGTCATGAGATACATTAAAAAAAAATAAAATGATGATGATAATAATAATAATAATAATAATAATAATAATAATATTTCACCTGTGCACGAGGCTGCAAGCTGATGTTTCAATCATCAAATAAGAAGGAAGAGGTTTGGATCCTTCGAGAATTCACTACTGGAAATTGTTTTCCAGCATTGGGTAACATCGGGTCAATGTAGGTCATTCTGCAGTAGCTCAGTGACTGGTGATGTGCACAACTAGTGAAGGTCCACAAAGAGCTGTACCAGTGACTGCAGTGTCTGCTGCTGTAGGGCTGACAGTGTTCTGATATTAAGCTGCCTGCAGAGACGAGGAAAGGAGAAAGGACAGAAAACTTTAATAGTAGAACCAATGATAAGATAACGCTTTATTGTCATTGCACAGTCAAACATAGTACAATAGTACAATGAGATTGGAAAACTGTCCTACGTCGGCACTACATATAACACAACACATGATGACATTATGGCAGGAATCAGGACAGCTTTCTTCCGATAGGTGCTCATATGAAGAGAAACTTTTAAAGGGGTGACGGTGCTCATATTCTCTGAAAAATGGCCAAAAACAACCCCATTCTGTAAATGTGTGACCACAACTGTACAAACTTATATTGCAGCAAGACTGAATCACCATTTGTCTTTTTGATTACATTTGTTAAATAACAACACATGCACGTTTTTAAAATATGATAATCCACTGTAAATTTCACATCTATAAAAGATGTATGATTTATGCCGTTTGTGCTCACCAGTTTTGGGGTCCTTCTTCCTCCACCTACTTTTGCTGGCAGGATATATTTGGGTCATCCCATGTAAGCATAAGCTGTCCAATTTTAAGACTGGGAAAATAAGGAAACAAACAAACAAACAAAACAAAAAAGGAGAAAAAGAACTGCAGTTGAAAAAAATCAAGTGAGAAAACACCTTAAGGAGCCAGCCACTATTTTTTTTCCTGTCAGGTGGGGAAATGACTCAGATGGCCCCTGTGCACCTTGAGGTGTCACCACAGCTTGTCAGGACAGGCTGGCTGTGCCACTGCAATCACCAGCCTGACTAATAGTGCAACTCATCACTGTCACAACCCCACGTGAGAAAAAATAAAAAGTGAGTTTACCTGGTTCATCTCATGGTGAACAGCTGTATTAACTGGCATCACT